GATGAATTACAGTGCTCATCTTCTGCTAGACATTGGGAGCAAATCCCAGTCAAAGTTTCAGTATTGCCAACTTTCATGGTTTTTGACATCATTCCTAAAGTCTATGCTTCGGGAATGTGAAAAGCTTAGCTTTTTCTTCTATATATATTTATATGTATATAAGTATATCTAATATTTATATCTATCTCTATATCTCTCTATATAGCTATATAGACATATAGATATGTCTATATATCTATATATAGAAATAGATAGGCATATCTATATTTATACATAGATACACATATGAAACTTAGCTCTTTCATATTTATTTATATTTATTGATTTATTTATTTATATATGAAAGAGCTAAGATATATCTAAAAAAAGAGCTTATATGTAAAGGAAAGAGCTAAGTTTTTTTTTTCACATTCCCAAAGCGCAGAACAACACCATCAACCATGAGAGTTGGCAACACTGAATTTTAGACTTAAAAGCAAAAATTGGAAGAGTTTTAAGCAGGTGCAAATCTCCCTTCAGAAAAGAAATTCTCCAGCCTTGGCTGCAGGTGTGAGCCCCTGCTCCACTGGTAAGGATATACAGTATCTGCATTGTTGTCCTGCCTCTATTTTATCCAACTCCAAAAGATTTGCAAGATGCTTACTATGAGCAGGGGGGCTTTGTAAAGGTCAGACGTGATTAGCAATGAGCCCAAGCGATCCAAATCCTTGGATACAAAGGTCGTTCAATTGTGGGCATGTCTGTCTATAGGCACTCATATGTGTGCAGCATCTAGACATACATAAGCTGGTTTTAAGTTCCTAGTTCTGGTTCGGGGAGTAGCCCAGCAATGGCAGCGTCGAGTTCAGTGTAGGCAAATTACCCGTGTCTCTTGGCAGTGCATGTCGTTGGAGTCTAGCTCTGAAGTCAGTACTTGGTCCCTGTTTTATAAGGTGGACTTTTAAGGTGGACCCAGCTGTAAATACGTGGCACTGACTAGCACCCCCAAAGAGCTGCTACCTGCCCTCAGCTCCCATGCGGAGCAGCAGGTGGGAGCCCTGAAGGTCGAGGGTGCTAGTGATTCCTTGCAGCAGTTTCACACACTAAGTTGTTGAAAACAATTAAGGACAAACAGAATATGAATCTTGTAATCAAAGCTGGACCCGCCAAGCTCACTGTCAACCCTGACTCTCTAACCAACCATGCTGGGATTCACTATTTCCCGGCGTCTCCTAGCTACTTAACTGGCCGCTGAAGCCTGCTAATCTCTAGCATAAGACAGATATAGATGTATATACATATATATCAAGAGAGACTTATTAACACATTGTGAATTGAAGAACTCACAAATTGGGAAAGCAGGAAATTAAAGAACAATAAAAGTAGATGGAAATCCAGAATTAGTGTTACCTAAAACCCATTGATTCTGCCCTGAGATCCTCAGTGGGCCGCCTGTGCGAGTGCACAACATGCAAGATGAGTGTGGGAACCACAAACCTTTGCTGTACTGTAGCTGACTTTAAATATCTTCCCTTCACTTTGGAAGACAAGGGTCTTTGGGTAAATCTGATATTTTCTAGTAGACCAACTCAAATAGTTGGAAAAATTCTTCTTTGCAAGCTCCTGGGTACAAAAAGGGCACTTGTACCTGCAAGCTTGCAAAGAAGAATTTTTCCAACTATTTGAGTGGGTCTAATAAAAGATACCGGATTTACCCAAAGAACCTTGTCTGCCTGTGTCCTTAGACCAACATGGCTACAACCTACACCCATGTTCCCTTCCCTTCATTTCATCCAGGAGATGCTTGCTCTCAACAGACCTTCCCTTAACAAGACAGATGCACCCACTTGGAGCAAAGAAAGTTTTGTGCAGCACTGGGAGAAATGTCTTGCATGGGGACCATTCTGTGATAGAGAGGCAGCTGGACCAGCTTTCCAAGTGCAACCCTCCGTGTTTGCCGGGAAGGAATTGACTTCCTTTACATATGTCCCAGTTTTGGAGGCAGTTATGTGACTCAGACTCCACATGTCCTCTGACAATACAGAGATGCCTGACACCCTCATTACCACTTCACCCTACATTCAGCAGCTACTATCTTTTCAGCCCACCTAGTTCAGATGCTTTCCCCAAACAGATACAGTTTTCCTTTGGAAAGGATTGGTAAGGGGAAAAAAAAAATCACTTTATCTCACAAAGCTTGCAAACACTTGTCTTTGCTTATTTGAAGTCTGCACAAAGCATGGCAAGACTATATGATTTCCAGCGAAGTGTTTGGATAGCTATTCACATGTGCATTGTACACAGGTGATATAACATGAAGGTTTGCTTAACTCTATTTATTTGTTTCATGAGAGTAGAAATGAGACCATGCTTTATAGCCTACTAGGTGCTTATGATTTTCCCCAGCAACAATGTCAGGCTTCTTTCCTATAGTACTTTCTTTAGTTTTTCTATGCAGAACATAGGAGGTGGGGAGAGAGGGGGAAACATGCTCCATGCAGAGACAACCTTGTCCTTACACACACACAACGCCCTCTGGAGCCAGTGCAGTAGCCTGGAGGAGGCATGTAGCATTAGGTCGAACTAGGCTGTAATCTCCAGAACCAGGAGAATTTTTATTGGTGGCTAATTTTATTTCTAATGCCTGTAGACGTGATTACACTGAACCACACTGAGAGCAACAGCACAAATTTACAGCCTTTAAAGAGATCAGGGGCTTACTCTTGCATTTTCACTCATGCACGCTTTTCACCAATTGAGATGGACTTCAGAAGAGATGTCGGTTCCTTTATGGCCCTTGTTATTAGGGTGCCCGAGTGCCACACCAGCAGTAGTGGATTTTATCCAAACAATACCAGTAGAGGTAAGGAAGTATTAGCCCCATTTCACAGATGGGGAATGGAGAGGCACGGGGCATGCTGAATGACTTTTCTAAAGCTACAAAGGAGGGCTGTGCATGGGTCAGTGACTGAAACAACAGATCCTGAATGCTAACAAGTTGCTTAGCTGGCTTCTAAACCTTTTTCTTACCTATACTTGATCATACCTGTCTATTGTTTCAAGTCAAGAAGGGCTCAAACCAAGTCTGGTTTACCAGGAAGGAAAGAACCAGATAAAAACCGTAACTAGCTCTGTAGTGATCCAAACTACAACCCAGGACGGACCAACCCAGAACACAGGAAAGTTGTGATCAGTCCCTTTCTAGCTACGAAATACAAGATAGTCAATATTTAAGGACTTAATCCTGCTTCCATGGGCTTTGCTATTGAAATTAGGCTTTTTCCCCACAGAAACGGGCTGCAAAAGTATAGGAAATATCCCACTGTGGGATTTAGCACAAGGCAGGATGAGATTAGGATTTGCAAGTGTAGAAGGTAATGCCTACACATTGCAAAAAACTAATTGAAGGTACAAAGAGGACAGATGGTTCGCTGCCATAATATCTGTTAAAACATGCAGAGCCCATGCCTTTGTATATCTAGGCAAGAGACAGTTATAGTCACCTATCCCCGTTAAAGAAATTTGCATCATACTATTCCTGAGCCCCCCTATTCCTATTCCCAATTAGATAGCAACTGAATAATCTGTAATTCCAGAAGAGGGCACTCTGCATTATTAACAGCAAAGCCTGTTCACCATATGTGTAGATACAGGAGAAGTTCACTGTCACGAGAGTGAAATGGGTTAGTTTTTCTATCTATTTCAGAAATCACTATCAGGAATAGAAAAAAATATATATTTAATGTTACAGCGTTCCTAGTCCTTTGGATTTCCTTCTCTCAGCCCAGCGGCAAGGGAGATGACAACTGTTGTGCACGATGACATTGCTCAAGTAGATTTAAAGCACTATATGAGACACCTCTAACTAATTGGGCTCCATCCCATTGTTGGATTAATCAGGAAAGGCTCCAGTCAGGAACCAAACACAAAGTCTTTGGGTTTTCTTAGGAAAAAATACTACACCCTAACAGTTTCCATAGGCTGACAGGAGCATCAGAGATGGGCTCTGAATCTATAGCTCTTGTCCGCTGGGCCCAGGCTTCATTGCAGATCACCAACGATGCTTTGTCGCTCTGTCATTTACAGCAACTGAATATCCCACCATTCAGTGATACACATTAAAACATGCATCCATGGGGGGCTACGTAACTCATGGCATGTGCAAGGGGCCCAAAAGCTTTTATCTCTAGGTCAGTGGTTCAAATTCAAGTCAGATGGGTTTATGTTTTCTGCTATTTGGGAACTGATGTGAAATGAGTTGGATATTCTCCAGCCAATTCCTGCAGCATCAGACACCCTCAGGTGCAGTCAGAGCTGAGCTATCCAAGTACCAAATAGACAACGGACACCACAGTCCTACAGAAAAGTCCCTAGCCTGTTATATCACCTATACAGCTCAAATCCCTGGAGAACCAGCAGCCTTCAGACTTCAGGATGTTGTCCAGGCCTCTCCCACAACCCTTACCTTCACACCGTGCATTGAGAAGACAAGCAAAAATAATGTTTCCAGTGTCCAAAAATAGAGCTGGAAAACCCTCCTTACACTTGAAAGACAATAGTCCTTTTTCACTGGCATGTATCCATCTATTCCCACTGCAGTCATCCTCTTCCAGGCTCATCCACACTGTCACCATCTCTACTCTGAGCCGTGAAAACAAGCAATATCACAATAGATTGCTTCCAAGACAAACTGCAACAATGCCTGACCTTGGGATTTCTGTCGAGGATGACACTGAAATGGTTAAATAAATGCACAGCTGCCGTGTATCCCAGCGATAGGCCTTTAAAAATAAGTGGTGTTTCAAGGTATTATCCTTCTGTGCATCAGGACATATCACATAATACAATATTTTAATAATATGGTTATAACTTCCACATTTCAAAAGCATTTAATTGTCCTTAGCAATAATAGATCCCTGTCACATATCTGCCAAACCTCCCTTTAGGCTGCTTGTTTGACCAGTGTTTTTTAACTCTTTCTATACCAGGCCCATTAAAGCTCCAGCTTTTTTCTCCGCACATTCCTAAAACTATACAAGTGGGGTTTTTTTTTAAACTGTCTCTCTCAAAACGTAGAGGAAAAAGAAAAGAAAGAAAGGGATCAAACCTTTCTGAATGGTTTGTGCAGAAATCAAAAGCAACTGATGTGATCCTGTCTCTTAAGACTGGATCTGTAATTCAGAAATCCGTTGTCAGTTAAAGGGAAGTTTGGGTATGGATAGTAGTGTGCAAAGCTGTTTGTAGCTTGTAGATTATAAAAACTCACTTATTCCACTTATTAAATAAATGTGCCAAGCCCTTGTTGTCACTAGTTTTGGAAAATGCCATAACTATTTGCATTTATGCCTTAATAGGCTTCCAGGGGGATAACATATACTCAATGTAGAATAAGAAATCAATGGGCCACATTATCTGTTGGTATCGATGCAACTTCATTACCATCAGGCCATGAACTTACTGGAGCGGCACTAGTTTACACCTGTAGAGACCTTGGCCCAATGCTTTTCACTTTTTTAAATCAGAAAATGATTTCTCTCAGTCCATCTTTATAATTTGTTTCATCTCAGTCCATCTTTATAGTCCAATTCATGGATAATGTTTTAACATGTGGGTTCACGAGATTAAAATGGTGGCTTAAAACTGGGTAGCTAGAGGTGCACTCCTGAGAAAAGTATGATACTTTGTAAGATAAGTCAAAGTAAAAAATAAAATTGTTAACCATGTTCTGCAAATTGTGCTTCCAGTTGTAGGTAAAAGAGGCAAATGAAGAGCATTAAGTTCAGTGCTGTTATTCCAGCATTATACTGCTGTGCATTTTTTGCAAAAAAATGTTTGAACCCTTCCTCTATTCCACTAAGAGCAAGCCAAATATAATAATCAGCAAAAAATAAGATATTCTGAACAATGTAAAGATTAAATGTAATAGTGCATTAAATGTAGTTGTGTAAAAGATTAGTGTATTATTAGTACTACAAATGCTAGGCTAATGTTATCACCAAAAAGGGCTTATAGGTATTCCACCCATGTGTGCATATGCAACAGTGCATGTAATCTGCGTGTGGAATTACCATGATTATGCATACATATCAGATATTAACAGGTGTAAATGGCCAATGAGGCATTTAGTTGCCTGTTTGCGTACGCAGTCATGGTAAGCAGACAGACAAATTAAGTTCACATCTGCAAAATCATTATGCAGCTAAGGGATTCTTGAGTTTTGTGAATAGGATGTATGCAATCCAGAGGTAACAGTCCCCAAAGACCTAGCAGATCCTCAGTTGAAAGGCATTTGTGAGTGCAAAGGTATACGATTTCTGAAATACTAAATGGTCTGTTATAACTACCAAAATTAACCCACAGCTCGTGAATGTTTCATATAATATCTCGGAATGACTGGAATACGGGGCAGATATTTGATATACATATTATTCATACACATGTATTCACAGGGCAGCTATAACTTGGTTCTGCTTTTTCCTAGCTGATTGGCGAATGTTATGGGGGTTCACCATGGCCCCATCTTATCTTCCCTCTTGTTCAACATGTATATATATATATATAAGGCCACTGGGTGAGACTGTGTGGAGATTTGGGGTGCTTACACAAGTTACATTTTTCACATGATCGGGCCCCTGAAATCACTCTACAGCCATGGTATAACACAAGCGCACAGCACTTTTTAAATGGATGATTGTGTGAAAAATAAACCCTGGTCAAATCAGG